ACTACTTCTGTAATGTTTACTGTATTTGACATGTTCTACACCTGAAAAGGTTTTTTATTACAAAGAACTAATAAAGGATATCTATCTATCTATCTATTAAGTAGTAGAAATATATCGGCTGAGAACTATATTGATATTGCACATATACTTAGTTATCTGTACTTTTTATTCAATTTCTTGTTTTGTCGCATAGATGTCACCAAAATCATTTTATAGAGGTTTACTGGGCACTAGATGGTTCTGAAGGAATCAATTTTGAAATTTATGAGAACTTCCGTTGATTGGAATCAACAGTATTCATTTCCTCAATATCATCACTCATTTTCGATTGACTGCAGTTCATTTTCATTTACTGGAAAACATGGCAGTGTCAATGAATGTGGTAAATTCAGTTATCACCATGAATTATTAAGAATATCCAAAGATCGTATGAAAAATTTCATAAATATACTTTTTTTTTGAAGGATGAATTCCTAAATAAACCATTACCAGCATTTTCAGGTGGGTTTCGAAGATATCCATACACATTTTATCAATTCTGGAAGTTTTTTAACTGCTGAAGGCAATGACATATCCCATTACAAAGATGCCACCTAGAGGCTCGAAAGAAGACTATCCAAAAAATACAAAGCCCGTAGAAGCTCAGAAGTACGATTTAAGTGTATCCTGAAATTAATAGTACCTACCCTGACTACCAGAGGGCGACGCCTATATGATCTCTGCATTCAATGTGGTTACCAACAGAATTGGGTAGCAGTCGCTGACAACCAGTTTGCAGGATCATATTGAAGTCAGGATGTATGCCAAAATTGAATCAAATGGTTGCCTGGTTGTCAGCGACTGATACCTTATTCTGTTAGTAACCACATAAATACCGACATCTTACTGACGTTGCTCTCTGGTGGTCAGAGTAGGTACTATAAATTTAAGGATACACTAAAATCGTACTTATGAACATCTATGGGCTTTGTATTCTTTGCTCCACCCAAAAATATCAAAGATTATTCAGACTCCCTCAATGGTCCTTTGCAAAGTTTTGGAAAGCCCCTTTTATCTTTGATATTCATGGATTAAGTTGTCTGTCAATAGCATAGATGGCGATCATCACCATTACTTACTCAGGCTTGTTCTTCAGGGATAGTTTGTCAAGGAAACGATAGGTTTGCCTTTAGATCACATAATCAATGAATCTTTTTTGTCAGGACAGTACCCATTGATTCTAAAGGCCTCTAAATCTATACCAATTTTCAAAAACAAAGGATCTAGAGAGATAGTAGATAATTACAGAAATGTCTGCTTACAGAGCCAACTAGCCAAAATTTTTGATATGGCATATAATGAACGNATACATAATTACTGTACAAGAAACAGTGAAAGATTATACCAGCCATACTCACGATTAGGAGTTGGTCAAGACTCCCATGTATATCAAGGTATTAAATGTTATAACAAACTCATGGCTATTCATCCTGAGTTAAGTTTAATGAGTAGGAATGAACTAAAATGTTGGTTGAATGAATTTTTAAAAAACAAGGTGTTCTACTCTCTTCAAGAATTTTTAAATTGTTGATGTTCATTGTATATTTTAATATTTTACTTATCAAAAATGTATATGTATAATTTTGTAAATTTTAATTACTTTTAAGCTCTCTTTGTGACTACTCCAATAAGTTTCATGTATTTACACTTTTTTTATGTTGTACATGTGAACTTTAGTGATGAATAAACTTCTTTTCTATTCTAGTTGAGACCAACAATTCATCTGTGGTTTAGGCTTGCACTACTGATAAAATCTGGCGTTGGGTCACGAATACTTTGTCTTTGGAGTTGATTTCAACTATTGTCAAGTCAATCAACTCGATGATATTCATATCTTGAAAAATTGGTGATTTGGCCTAAGTGAACTAACAATCCGATTCGATATTGCTCCAGATTGCATGTCCGACGACAGGGGAAAACAACCATACCTTATTCAAATTCTCAACAATTATTTTGTTTTTGTGGCCTAAACTATTGTACATACGACTATCAAAAAACTCACCCCTCTTCACGAAATTGCCCCAGTTATTCCCCCTCCCCCTGAACGGCCCAAAATTGTTATTGAGGGGTGGGGGGCCGAGCCACTCGTTTGGTGGATGCATCTCCTGGTTGTCCCAGTTCGAATCGTGTCCATAGTCCTGATGGGCGGGCTGGTCCCAGTTCTCCTCCTCCTGATATTTGTCATTCATCCACTGCCTGTCGCCGTCCAAGTCATTCGAGTAGTGATGCGGTTCCATCGGGGGCTCATCTTCCGTCATCCAAGGTTGGGGAGGAGGCGGGAGAGGCATGGCTGGCGGATGAGTCATAGCTGGTGGTTGATTCATGGGAGGAGGCGGATTCATCATTGGAGGGGAGCTCATTAGGATGTTACCTGGAATAATAATAATGATTAATTTGATCATTCCAAAAAAAAAAAATTCAATGTTCAAACAGGTAGGTACAGAACTCCCAGGACAGCTTATTCAACAACAATAATAATAATATAGGTAGATAGATCTTGTTGATAAGTCTATGGAAATACAATAACTAAAAAACACGCTATAGTCCGGTCAAATTAGACTAAAGAGTGACGGTACATAAATTTACAACAAGCTGCAAATGCGTGTAATTGTTCAAAACATAGTTCAAAATAATATTTTAAAATTCCGAATGATTGCGATGCCTGGAAAAAAATTAATTCGAGGTCAAAGTTCATAAATGTCGAAAAAAATTGGTTTTTCGCGTTTTTCAGGAAAACGGTAAGTTTTATCATAAAATAACCTCAGATGAAAATGGTAGATCATAAAATTCTCTACGAAAAATGTATACTTTTTTTCTTAGAGCCACCGTTTCTGAGATACGAGGAGTCAAAAAGTTGTAAAAGTTGTAATCGTCATTATATGCATAAGTATGCCACGTATATACATCTCTGAAGCTGTAATCCAAGTAAAAATAATTTTCTATTGGTATACATAAGTATAAATATAAGAATATCAGGTAGAATGAAATCCAGTCCCTTAATTTGTACGCTAGCACCCAGCATTTCGAAATGAAATTGAGAAATATTTTGAATATGAATTGGCTTGCTACCCTTTATCGTTGTTTGATGACCTCGGGATGAGTAAAACACAGAAGTCTGCCATTTACGATTGTTTCCAACAGGTCAATATTGAAATTAACAATACTAATACGGCATACATCATTGACGGTGGATGCTTACTACATCGTGTTGGGTGGGATAGTGAAGAAACATTTAGCATTATTTTAGATAAATACGTTCAGTATGTAAGTAGACATTTTGGTGCCAGAATTACATTCGTATTTGATGGTTATGATGATTGCACGAGAAATATTAAAGCTGCAGAACAACGTCGTCAAACTTTAGCAACATCTTCATCTTCCGATATTCTATTTGATGAACTTATGACAGTTCCTACCAGTCAACAGAAATTTCTTGCAAATACTCACAACAAATCTCGGTTCATTTCAATGTTGAAGGATAAGTTTATTGGCGAAAATATATTGGTTAAACAGGCTAATAACGATGCCGACGTAATGATTATTGAAACAGCTATAGAGCAATTTAATTTGACAAATACAACTATTGTTGTTGGTGAAGATGTAGATGTAGTCAAAGCTATTTTCCAGGTTTTTTTATCGTGGCCTGTGGGTTTTATGCCTGACGTTTCGCCTAACACTGCGGTAGACATTATCAAAGTCGACGAAATAACGGTCAAAGTGCCCAAGTTGTTCTCAAGGAAGAAACTACAATGCTGGAATTTGTCTCAGATTTTCATAGGTGGCGTGGGTTCATTTCTCTTAATCGAATTAAAGTGTACAGTTAAGGACAGGTAGCCAGATTTTATTAATGTTCATTGCCTCTTCCTTTCTTTTGAAATCATTCTTGTGTTTCATTTCCATTGCTTCTCTATAAATTATTGGATAGTAATTTTGAGTTTTTGTTCAGTATTTGTGTATTTTTGACTGAGGCGACAATTGTCTCCTCGGTTAACGAGTGGTTAATAAATATAATCTTATCTTATAGAGCTTAACAAGAAAAAATTGTGCAGTTTGAATACTACCAGATTACCACCTTCCATTGAGGCGAGATAACGAATTCCAAATATAAAAAAAACATGCAAACTTTACCTAAGCTTTCCATCCACTCACCTGGCCTCGGCGGAGGCGGGATCGAGGTGTTCATGTGCTGCGGCGGCATCATCGGCGGGCTGACCATGTCGTTGAACGTCATCATCGGCGGTGGCGGCATCAGCGGGCCGTGGTCCCACTGCTGCTGCTGCTGGTGATCCTGGTTCATGACGTTCGGATCGGACATGATCGATTCGACCATGTTCGTGTTGGAGTTGTCGTCGGAAAGGTTGCTGAACTCATGCAGGTCGTTGCTGAGGTCGTCGAGGAAGTTGTTGGCGTCCTCGTCGTCGGGTAAGTTGGGCAAAGGAGGGGGAGGCTCCAGCGAGTACGACTGGTCAATGGATGCGTCCACGATGATCTGCGGATGGATAGTTTGGTTATAATATTATCAACTATACAGTGACGGCTCATGCATTGGAGAACAGGGGACGCTAAAGTCATAAAGACTATATACACACAGAAAAGCCCGCCGGAGTCGCGAAAATTCTTTGAGGTACCGCACTTATTTAAAGCAAAATACGTAATATTTGCATAAATGCAAACAAAAATTGTGTATTGCCGAAAATTATACGTATAAAACTGACCATTGAAAAAAACAAGGAAAAGCGGCTGTCTTTGAGTTATTTAATATAAATGAACTCTTCTCAGTCAATAGATAATAATACTTTTCTCTTCTAATATAACATTTTTGTTAAAAATTGCTACAAATATTTTATAAGCACAAGTACTCAATTATGCTTATCTTTGACATATCTAAAAACGATTGAAAGTTGTGATGTACAGGTAATATCGGTAGTTTCATCAATTTCCCATGCAAAAAAAGAAAATCAATCTCCTTGCTTATATTTTCCTCAATAATATATGCCACACTGTCTATAAGCTCATTTTGGATGGTTTTTGAGGTGCCCGAAAAAACGTTACCGTTTAAAAAAGTGCCAAATTGGGAATCATATTGGCCCCATAACATTAAAAGTTCCCTGTAATTGCTGCGATTGATTGAATCTTTGGTTTCATCGTGTCCACGAAAAGCTAATTCTGGGGAACCCAAATATATCATAATATCGATAAGTCATTTTAAATTCGACCGATTTTCCCTAACCTGATTATTAAAAGAAAATATGGCCTCTTTTTGAGCTGAATCTAAAGCTGTTTCTATATTTTGTTTGCTAAACAATTTTAATTTACAAGACGAAAATATATGCTACTTATAAAATAATCATAATTATTTGTCAATATCTTTTAATTTATTGCGATGAATAGCCTCAAATTTTATGGGGAGGCTAAGCCTCCCTTGCCTCCTCTGACGAGCCGCCGCTGCAACTATATGAGTATGAAATGGCACAGATCTTGATGTCAGAATGAAAATAATTTTAAATTTTATTGGACTGTACTAACCATATGAATAAAATAGCCTCGGAGGCCCAAAAGATACTCGGATTTGTTATAAGAAATTGTCAAGATTGACAAAATATGTATTTAAATTATTGAATAGGATAAAATAGAATCAACACCTGTACAATGAAAATTGCTGCAGTAATACCAATATTCAAAACAATAAATATTGTTTTGTATATTGTTCTTTTTCCCCTATTTATAAACATAGTATGCTTGCAATCAAATCAAATCAAAATATGCTTTATTACCCAAGATATGCACATCTTATTGGCAAAGTCTAGTAAAGTAAAACGTGTATATGAAATTAAATTAACAAATATAAACTACAAGATAATGCTTAGAGACAAGAGCAGAGTATATAGACAGGACAATATCAAGCCCAGCTGAACAGATACAAATATAAGTACATGAATATATGAATATTGAGTAAATGTGAATGTATAATGCTACGTAATGAACATTGATAGCCATTTCGTGTTAATTTCAATAACTTGTTTACACAAAGCTACATGCCAATTACTCGACAGAGCCTTGGTAGAATTCGTCCACACTATAATAGGGCCTCCCAACAAGGAATTCTTTTACTTTCTCTCTGAATTTATTTTCATTATATATTCGCCTTAAATTAATGGGAAGTTTATTAAATAACTTCTTGCTATTGAAAATAATAGAATTTTGTGCTAAAGTAGGTGTTGGAAGGGAAATGAAGTAAAACTGACGTGTACTATAAGTTGAGGTGGTATTGAATTGATTTTTATATTTTTTGTGAATAAGACACACTGTTTCCAAAATAAAAAGACATGCTAAGGTCAGAATTTTTTGCTTCACAAATAATGGGCGGCATGAATCCCTGTAGCTAGCCTTGCATAAATATCTGATGGATTTTTTTTGTAAAGTGAATACCATATTGAAATGAACAAATTCCATAACGTAAATAGGACTCAATTTGTGGAAAATAAACTGATCTTGTAATAGTAGTGTCTGATTCTCTTGCAACAACTCTCACTACATGACATCCTGCTGCTATACTTCTACATAAGTAGTCAACATGGGAATCAAAATTTAGATTTTCATCTGTGAAGAGCCCTAAAAAATTGTTTTTTTTCAAATTTTCAATTTTTACATTTTCCAAGTGTACTTCCCCTAAGTTACATCTAATCGTGACCTCATTTGTTTTGTCGATGTTGAATGATAAAAAATGAAGGATAAAAGATTGGAATCACACCACTCTTTCACCCTTCTTATGTCGACGATGATTTGATCAAGTAAATTTGAGGCGGTATTGCTATGCCAGAGGATAGTGTTATCAGTGAAACATGTGAATTTACCACTTATGTCAACATGGACTAAGTCATCGACATAAATGAGAAACAACACCGGTCCCAAAACGGAACCTTGTGGAACCTCAGTGCCAACGAAACGTTTCTCTGATGAAATTGAATATAACTGAACATTCTGCCGCCGATGAGAAAGGTACGTCTCAAGCCAAAGTAATGCAGATCCTCTAAACCCCTAAACTTCTGGCTTGCGAAGAAGTAGCACTTGGTCTACACAATCGAATGCCTTGGTAATGTCACAAAACATGGCCGCCTCAGATTCTCTTTCATTAAGATTGGTGTACGGGTTTTCCAGGAGTGAAAATATGGCGTCTTGTGTACCTTTTGAAGACTGAAAGCCAAACTGGAATAAATTTATTATATTGTTTTTCTTGGGGAAGGATATTACTCGTTTTTTAACCAGTTTTTCTATAACTTTAGACAAGACGGGTAGCAAAGCAATTGGCCTAAAATTAGCTGGGTTGTAAAGATCGCCTCCTTTATGTAGAGGGAGATACATTTTTCCTATTATTATATCACGAGCAGTGACTATCTCAAAATTATTATTGTTATCATTGAACAATCACCTTGAGGTTGTTCTTATGCCGCCCCTCGTCATCGCTCATATCCATGTCCATGTCCTCGGTGCTGTCGTTCCTGCGAGACGGCGATCCAGTGGTCGTCCTGTACTCAGTGAGCGAGGATTCCGATTCTACAGGGAACGGCGCCGGTAACCTGGAGGCGGTTGCGGAGGCGGTCTCGTCGAGCGTCTTCGGAGGCGGAGGTGGAGGGGGCGGCAGCTTCAGCTGCTCGATGTTGAAGCTGAGACGGTAGTCCCGGTCGCTGGTAGTGGCCGAAGGCGGTGCTGCTTGGCCGGAAGCGGCGGGAGGAATCCTATAGTCCTGGAAATTTATTTTTATTTAATGATAATCTTACAAACCAAGTGAAATATTCATTCATCACTTGAATATAACATCTGTTTATGATTGTTTACGAACTGGCTCACATTTATCAGACCACTCAGAAACTTGGAAATAGAAATAGATTTATTAGAAATAGATAACCTAATAATACATAAATATTATATGTTTCTTTCGAAACAAATACTTTTATATGAACACTGAATTATACAGAAGATACTTTTCTCTACTCAGTTTGTATTTCAAACATTTGTTGTGGAATAAAAATCAGATATCATTCACACGAGTTCTACTTTAAATGAATGATAACAAATTACACTTAGAACACTGCCATCCTCACTGGTATACATCGATGTTTCACCTTAAGACACTTGCCCTAAGGCTCTTCAGTACCAAATTGGATAACATTATAGAAAATACACACACTTCATTCATGAATTACGATTTTTAATGTCACGGAATAAGCTTGATCTGCTTATGTAATTAAAGCTGCCTTGTGGTGACTTTAGTGATATATCTACCCCGTGATATTTTTCAAAGTATACTCAAACATCTATTTTTATTTTAGTTTCGGTTCTGATTTAGGATTTTTTTGTTGCTCTGCTCGTACTTATTTGTGTTTTAGTTTCGAATGAATGTTATTTTCCCTACTACAAACATTGAATTTTCTTGGAAAAATTAATCGATATTAATATCATTCATTTTCGCTAAGAATAGTGTGATACAAATAACCAAAGAAATTAACTGAAATATGTAGGAGAATTTATCAAAAACTCACTTGATCCGTTTGATTCCAAGCCGAATCAGTTGCTGTATTGGTCGGATTGTTAGAGCTGGAATTCCCAGGAGACCCTGTCAAGCTAATCAAATTCCTGTGGTCGACGTCTTTTCCTCCGAGGCTTCCCAAAGAATCTTCTACTTAAAAAAAAAAACGAAAAACTTAACCACTTCATATTACGTAAACACAATTTTCTTTTTACCTAAATCGCCTGACAAACCAGGAACGACCCTGTGGTCTACATCAACTGCTCCACTCGGTATTAATGTGTCGTGATACTCGACGGGATCACTGTAACCTTCTTTTTCGAACATCGGGGGACTCTCCGGTGTATCTGAAAGTATGTAAACATTCACATTGTTTTGGGTTACTCACTGTATCTATACACTGTTTCTCGAATGGAAAAGATGCTTTAATAATGTTCAAGATTAAAAAACTTTCTGGTTAGGTTAATAGAGTCGAAAAAAGATATGTTTCTTGTTTGCTGAAGAGGCCAATAATTTGTGTCTGCATGAATCACGAGGTTTAATCTTACACATATACCTGATAGACCGTTTCTGCAGTACTAATACATACAAAAGTGCTAATGAATTGCATACTCCCAAAAAAGGTATTCCATAACGTAGGTGGGATTCAACGAGGGCTTAATACACAGTTCTGGCAGTTTTGATTCCCAAATTTATTAACGTTACCTTCACTGCATAACATCCAGAACAAATTCTACTTTCAAGTTGTTTGATATGTTCAATAAATTTGAGCTTATTGTCGATGTGAAAACCTAGAAATTTAGATTGGGTCTTGTTCTTGATCACTAAGTTATCACCAAATGACAGGTCATCAAGAGCACATCTGAATAATAAAATGTTTGTTTTAGTGATATTGAAGGATAGCAAATTAGCATCACACCACTCCTTGATTTTTTTTCATATCAGTAGATATTGAATTGTGTAAATTATTTGCCAAATTTCTTCAATCATCTTCCTTAGGACAGATATTATTCAAAATCACAATCATTAGGCCTTTCTCAAAATCATAAAAGATCACCTACATGACTGAGTTTCATTCATTACACACTTGCTTTCTTCAAAAACTGTCAACTGACTACAATTCGAAGGTAAATTTCAAGAATTTTCTGATGTCACATTTCAGTGGTCCATCTAATGGTAGTTTGTAAAAACATAAAAAGCAACCCTCGTATAATTCTAGTGCCACAAGAATTGAAAATATTCAATATAGCGAGATCTATGTGTACTCCCGCAATGTCAAATGCTCAAGTCATCATACAAGTGCTGCCAACTGAAATAATTATACGTGCGGCGAGCTTTCTAATGGTAATTCATCGTTTGTCGTGGACAATAAAAGTATTCTTTACAACTGACTATCCATCATTAATTTTTGAAGAGTCCTCGTAACAAAACTATTCTCTCACTCGGATAACTCTTGGAATCATTCATTATAGGGAGACTTGAAAATCTAAGTGGCTTTACCTGTGTCGGGAATAACTGACGCACCACCATTCCAACTGGGGTCGGGCTCCCAAGTCGAGACGTCCTCTTCAGGATTGTATTCTTCGCTGGGAGGATAAGGATTAGCGCCTAGAGGTGGTTCAAAGGACTCCTCTTGGAAGGTGGCTTTATCAGCTGTGGCAGAATACTCCAACGTAGTTTCGTATGCAGTAGTTGTAGCAGAAGTGTAAGAGTTATCTGTTGTAAAAATTTATTTTACATCACAACAGTTTTGAAGGTGGTTAATAAGAAACACACACACAAATATGACGTCTTAACTTTGGTATTGTGATGAAAAAATGAATAACAGATTGAGGCACACAGTGAAAGATGAATGACAGGTTGAAGTACGTCAACCGATACAAATGCATGGTACTTCGAGCCGGATCGAAGGATCAATGTGTTTTTTATACTAAAAAAAAAGGAAGTTTCTCTGTTTGAGAAACTGAGCAAACGATATTGTTAGTATATACATAAAAATCATGATAATATACTTCAATAACAAATATCCAACACAAAAAATTAAAACAAAATCATCTGGTCGAAAAATATTTGCCAATCTTGTCATTGAAAAATTTGGCAGAGTTGTAAGCATTTTCATAATAGTGTCCAAAATAGTGGAAATCTTTGTTTTTGGTACAATGTTGATTTGATATTGAAGAAGTAATGAAAACATTTGAGAATTCAAAACCTTCAGCTTGTGATGAAATATTGAAAGTATACTGATAAAAATTAGTGGCAGTATTATCAATCATACGAGGGTCACCTTTAAGATCGACACGTGTTTCAGTCACCAAGTGATCATCTTCAAGAGGAAAATAAAACTGTTAAATGTTGAATGCATGACTTCATTCCTCTTTTTCAAGTATTTAACTAATTAAAAAAAAAAAAAAAAAGGTTGAAAGATAAGTTTAAAATGCGTTGTTTTAGAGCTCTTTTATGGAAACTACTTGATTTTCGTCAGGAGGAACATTCCCCATTGTGAACAATATTTTCTCAAGGTGCTTCATTTCCAAATGTTGAAATAAGCAATTGTTTACATTCACGAGAAGTAAACCTTTCTTTCAATCAATTAGTCATCATGTAATTGAGCTTGTTCAAGTGATATACAGAATAAGGAACCTTTCTTGAAATTATAAAATCTGTTTTTCCGTTAATCAGCTTATAAAATGATATCCTTCATGAGTGATTTTGATTTTTTTATTTAATTTCATTAAAAGTAACTCAATGTTGACCGTCTCGGATGCCCTTTTGAAATCCAGAAAGACCACACCTATAATACGTTTTTTAGATAGCTCAACTTTCCACGAAAAGATTAGAAATTGCAGTGCAGTTTCACATGAATGGGATTCCCTAAATCCAGTTGTTCTTCAATCAAAATATAATGTTTTGCTATAAATTTCATCAATTATTGCTCTTTCACTGCGATTTCTAATATTTTCTCATAAACTGGCAGGGTATTTATGGGTCTGAAATCAGATCCTAAAAGGGTGTTTGTAATTTTTTCAATTGCCATTTCAATTTTCACAATGCCACCATCTCATGGGCACTTGTAAAAACATAAGACATAACCTTTGAACTGAACAAAATTACTGGCAGAAATATTATTCCAGTTTGTTCATAAAATAAGGTCTCATACATAAGTTTCAGTTTCAGTTGTTTAGTATGTTTAATTTGTTGGTGAGTGGCATAAAAATAGAAGTGTTTTGTGTGTTCGGCAATTTGCAACAAATTTAATGTTAATTTTCACACATTGTAATCCCATTCAATGATACATTTTAAAAGCACTTTGTGTAGTTTTGGGAATATAAAAGTCTTTGAATAAAATGTGAAATAGTCCAATAAATGTATTATCTTATGAATTATGCAAGATATTTTGTTTTATTTATATCAATATGATGGGAAAAAATTTCATTTAAAGGTTATTTTACCTATTTTCAACAACAATCTGAATAAATCGACAAACGATGCGAACAAACTTTTGGTCCTTCGAGCCGGATCGCAGTGTCTTTAAGGCAAAATAAATTAGACGACCGATTCTTTTTGATGAAATGAAATACTGCTTACCGTACGTCGTCGTTGACGCGGTGGTGGTATAACTGTAAGCAGCAGTCACGTATTCCCCTTCCGGTTTACCGAACGGCGGCATGGGAGGCGGCATCAATGGCATGTGACTAGATCCATAGCCGTAAGTTGAGGATTGCAATGGGGCTGTTACTGGGGCAGCCACCGGCAGAGGAGGATTCTGTACAGGCGTAGTCGCGTAGCTATTCTCCGACTGCGGAAGGCTGGAGGAGACAGGTTGCGTGTTGCCAAAGAGATTGTTTTGGAAGTTCTGCAATGGAAAATGAGAGTCGCTTATGAAATCAGTCAATCATTGCGGATTGTATTTGTCCATCTTCATAAAAAATGAGGGAAACACCGAAGGAAGCAAGTTCTTTATCTACACATCTTTTAAACACACATATGATAGATAGATAGATTATCTTTATTAGTTATTTGGTACAAAGACCCTTACGAGTGTAGAACACGTCAATGTATAAATGAGTATGATAAAAATTACAAAAAATAAACATAAAAATAAAAAATATAAAATGAAAAAAATATATATATAAATAAACACATTGCATACTACAAGACATTTCAGACAAACATATAGTATAATAATAACATTGTAAAAGTATACAAAACAGTCAGACAAAGAATATAAACAGGCTGACAATTCAAAGTCTATCAGCGAAATATTTTTCCACCGAATAATAAGCCTTTGATAAAAGCATGATTTTTAGTTCCTTTTTCATTTTTCTAACAGGCAAGTTTTTGATGGAATCAGGTATTTTATTATAAATATTAGAAGAAGAAGTACTCACCTCCAAATTGAAGTTAGAGCCAATAAAACTGGAAGTGCCATTAGTAATAAAGCCGCATGACGTTTCCTTTTCAGTTGGAACAGGGGTATAATACCCTGCACTGAACTGCAACTCAGCTTTAGGGTTATATTCAGCAATTGCAGCTGGAAAAGTAAAGTAAAACACAATATAAAGTTGAAAAATTATCTGACAAGAAATTATAGAGTTACTTCGAACCGTCAACCAACTAAAAATTACCTTCTTTCGGAGCTATCACCTCAGATACTTCCTCTTCAGGTAAATCAATATCAGAATCCGGACTAGGAGAGGGGGCATTTACGTCAGGCGAAGGTATCGGACTACTCAATGTCTCTTTATGCTCCTCCAACTTCCTTTGGAAGGTTTTCACCCTGGTACCAAACATTTTGTATGCCTAAAAGTACAATAAAAGCAATAACATTTTATTGTGTAGCGAGGTTTTCCCAAATTCTTGGAAGAATAGAATATTGTATCAATACATAAATCCTGACCTAAAGGAAGCGTTGAAAAGTATAGAGATATATGAGCTGTCTGCAATGACAAAACTATCGGATAAATTACTGAGTATGGATTTCTGAAGCTTGTAAGAACATTATATTTGATGAACAACAACAGTTTTCTCGTTTGCAGAGTCTCAACAAATAGAAAGTATCTATACAAACTTATCAAAATCGTTTAGACAGAATAAACCAGAATACCTCCAGTTAAACTGGAAGATCTCAGATTTAGATTCCGTGTACTGAAACAGATTGCTTTTTTTCTTACAGTTGCAATGAGTACTATAATAATAATAATCGTCTTTATTGTTTCCCAGCTGTAGTTACATACAAATATTTAGATAAATTAAAGAGCTAGTTGCTGATATAACAAAAGGCGAAGTTCAACTCAGTTAGCACAAGTGCTACTGAGTTGTTCTTCCAGGTAATTTTTCTGCACTAATTCTTTTTTTAATTTTCATTGTAAGTTTGATTCTACCAATAAAATCGTTTGTCTGTCAAGATTGTACTAAGTGGAGAATTTTAGTGTAAATAAATGAATGTATATTTCATGGACAATCGACTTTTTTTCTTACATTTGCAACAACTTTGACGTCTTTTCGATCAGCTTCCAACTGCGTTTCTGCCTGCTTCAACACGCTTATCAACGTTATCCTATTTTTGATCTCCAGTTTCAATGCGTTGATGTAGTCCTCCATGTGTTTTATGTAGACTTCAATTTCTTTTTCAACATCATCTACATTGGCTCGATCTGAATTGGAAAGTAATGAGAGATGGGTTCGATAGTTTTCAATAGATTTACCTTTCAAGGACGTTGTTAGTCCGTCATCAATCTGAATTTTGGGATTGTGTTCCTTCAGCAGCTTGAGCTTGATGTCTGTGTCTTTTTCCAGTTTGGAACATGTTTTTATTTTGTTGATTACATAGTTTGGCTGGAAATAAATAAGTTTAGAATGCTGCACATGTTTCTAACAGATTTTAGAAAGAGAGATAGAAATTTTAGAAAATTTAGAGAGAACAAAATCTGGACTGGAAAAGTTGACAATTTTAGAGCTTATTGAAATTACATTTCGAAAAAAACAAGAAACACTTTCTCATTGCGACTTTTCAAGCTGTATAAGATAGCATGACGAAAAAAAAATCTCCTGTTATAACTTGCCTTTTTAGCAACAATTCCTCTAATGTATCACACATAATCGTAATTTCCTGAATTCTAAAATGTCACTCAAACAATCTAAAAATATGTATTTTTTTCCTGATTCAAGCGAATCTATTGATATGAAAACTATTTTTGGATAAGAATATTAAATACTAAACATTCAAACCTGAAATTCGTGTGGTTCATCACTTTTTGGTGCACTTGGTAAAACACTGAGAAGCCCACATAAATCTGAAATGAATTCCTCGTTGTAAACATTTCTCTGTTCCCAGATTTTGAATATCCTGAGAATTTTGTGTTTAACTTTCTCGTCCCTGAAAACAATTTTTTACGATGTATATAACACATTATGAGACACTATTTTTACACATTAGAACACAGTTATTTCCTTTCATTAAAATATTTGTGAAAAACATTTCTTCTCATATTACTTGGACATGATTTTTGTATACTTAGTCAATATTCATAACGTTTCAAGTGGAATTCTTGTTTTGCACACTTAACGGTAGTTACAAGAAATATATTCAATATAAAGAGTTCTACTGTCACTATTATTAATATATTAATAACTTTTTGCTGATAAAGTGAAAAATCATAGTAAAACCGAATGTACGAATGAAATACTAAAAGATCGAAATTGAAAATGACCTTCGCTCATCTATTTAATTGATGAAAAGGATTTTATATGAAATTTAATATGTTGAAAAATAAATTGTGAAAAAATGAATGAATTTTATACTAATTGAAAGTAAGAAGCCTATAGTCAATAACATAACAATTAGGAATTGGGATACGACAACAAACTAACACTTATTATAAAGAACTCATATGAAAATCATCATTACCGAAGGTAATAGATCGTCCAGATGCTTATAAAAGAATCCAACCGATTTGTAGGGATATGCATATAGAGCAACTGCTTTATTTAGGTGTGTATATATTGTATCTCATCTCTTAAGTCGATTAAACATACATTTCCACTTAGTAAAACCCAAATACTTACCTAACCATAGTTGTCGCTTTCTGCAGAGCAATTCCCCAGCTTTCCACGAACGGATAGTTCCTCCTTTTGGAGTACTGAACGACATCATTGGCTAAATAAAACAAAATGAGTCTCTGTTCAACCTTAACACGCTTCAAAACATTGAGCCAAGCATTAACTATTTTTTTATGGTGCGCTCTGTTTTGAAGACACCACTGACAACATGTGTTTATGGCCTCTTGGGAGTCTTTCAGAGTCGTTAGCTGCTTTTCGAATTGTAATACATTAAATTCACTTTCAGTAGCGGTTTGGGTCCCCATTTTTTTGGAGTCTACAACACTCACTCACTTTTCAGAAACATAGTTATTGTAACACAATTTTCACTACATCTATTTACGTATTTTCACCATGTTTGTATTAGAGGTTTTTCTTCAAAACGTTCATCTTCACTGAAATGCCCTGCATTTGCGAAAACTCGAACAATTTCACATGGACGCCGAATACGAAAATTTTTCAGAAATGTTATTCAGTATTTTGTATGAAGCATTCACAGATATCAGAAATATGTCTATCCTATTAGAATTTTAGTATTCTTTTTACTATTGCAAAAGAATAGTGAATTTTTGATACAAATTGTCTAACTTAATTTCATTCGGAAGGGGTCCTGTCAAAATAATCAACCATTAACCATTTATTCTTCATCTTCAGTGACGCCAATCTTCTATTCGAAAATATTAAACTAAAAATAAAGAATACTATTCTGTGCCACAGGACAGAAACAAATAGTATATTCAAGAAACACTTTATTCCGAGATTTTTGCTAAACATGCAGGCGTGTCTATCACACCTGAAAAAGCTACATTATAGCAAAACACGTGTTGCATTTAAGTGAAACTGTTTAGTGAAAATATCACAATAAAGTGTTTTTTGAATACGTTATGGATTTTCATCAAGTATCGGCCGATTCCGTCACATATCTTATGAAACAAAAAGGATATTTGCTGGATTTTTGGGATAAAGACGGTTAATATAATAACCCTGGGATGAAACAGGGGCTGAAGGTATTCCTCAGAGTAACAACATTACTCTGAGGTATTCTATGATCAAGAAGTTGTCAAATTGAAGCGTTTTCCATTGGTAAAACTAGAGGAGCCCTCGTATCGCTTTGACATTATACGAGTCATGTCAAATTTCAATATTGTTGCAGCCCCAATGAAATACAAACTTCAGCACAAATCTCACAACAACACAGAAAATATCGAGATCTAATTTACTGTCTACTGGAATACAGAACACTATTATCCATTTTTAATTATTTTCAAATGACAGATTAACAGAAATAATTGTTACATTGTAAATGATTAATCTGTAAAACGAATCCTTTGAACTTCAAACATAAATCAGAATAAACAATAAAAAACATTGATGTTTCAACCATCACTTATAATTTAAATAAAAAAATAAACTGCTCATACTATTTCTTGTATTTATTCTATTTATATGAATGCGACTGTTGTGCCTAGTAGAATGATGATGAATGTCTTTATTAAAAGTTATTAATGATAGCAAGTATGGTGGGGTCATTTTATTTAATATTTTATAAACGAAAACCATGGAACAATAGAATAATTGATCACAATGAAGCAACCGATTCGTTGCTTCATTGTGATCAAACGCATTACCCATTCCTGATATTGTATTAAATTTTGGCACAATATTTACATCAATATATTTTCTGGGTTTTCAGTTGAATAGTAGAGGTTTGTATCTGCATAACAAAGAAACAGTTCCTGTGAAGACTGTTGAATTATCATTTGAAATGAAAGACACTGAAGTATATATTTATTTCTGTGAGTTTTTGAAAAATATTTTGCATGACAGCTGACAACAGAAAGTTATTATTTGAAGTTTAAGACTTTTGAGAATTTACTATTGGTAGCATTGTTTATTCTATGCATTTTGTTTTGACACTAAATATGAAATATTTTTATATTTTCCAAATATATATGTACTGTTAAATAGATAATATGCATTGACTTCAAATATTTTTCCTTTTTGATTCATTCCAGGTTTTATCGGCTTATTGGATAACTTATTTAGTTATTCATAAATGGAAACCAAGGATATCTTTAAGACACCCTCTGAAATAACAGTGCTACCCCATAAAGTCGGTATTTCTTCAGATTTCAACAGTATTGAAAATGATCCAGGTATATACCTTTCATCCGAATCCGTCCATTTAATTTTCAAGATTTATCAATAAATAATTGAACAATCTTTTGGCTTTCTACTTCATCATTATATATACAGTCATAAGAAAAAGATGAAACAAAGAATAACTAAAAACAAAGTAGATCATGCACAGAAGTTTCTGTTATAAACCGGAAGAATAATATCCATCCAAAACAACTGTTTTCAATATCAACATTGAATTACAAGGAAGTCACTTTTTCTCATACAGTTTGTACACCTAAACTTTCCTAATGGCATTAGAAACAGGTGTCGTATATAAGGGCACTCTACAACGTGATATATGGAAGAGTAATGATATGAAATTTCATTCAAATGGAAGACTAGATAAAAATTTTAGTTGAAAAAGCTAGTATTTCCGTCTTTGAATAAATTTGAAACAGGATTCACTCAATACTTCCAGCCAACCATGTTATTTACTGGAAAATATATCTGCTTTTGTCAAAATGGCTGTTTTTGAAAAACATACTAGTCAGCTAAATACCAGCTGATGGCATTAGCGATTTCAACTAGTGAAGAAAAATTTTGAAGTCCACCTTTGTGAAATTTTGTATCAGTACTCTTACATGACTTCATTACAGAAACACAGGGTACATACTTCCATAATATTTCTATACAAACTCTCAAACAAAAATGATTCCTGTGAGTTACTATCATATCTTAGACAATCATGTTGACTAAACTGCACTTTTTTATGTGGAAGGATGCAAACTAACATCATGCTTGAAGCTTCAATTTACGGAATATGCATGAACTATAATAAAATTTGTGAGAATTGTGATATTTTCTCTTGTACCTTGTTTAGTTGAAAAATATGTTTAATAAGGCTAAGTTAATTTATGTTTTCAGAAAATTTTAATGTATGTATTGGTGCTAGGAGTATAATCAATTTTGTTCTTCACAAGTTTCTACTTTCTATATAATGATCAAGAAGTAGAAAACCAATAGGAAATGGAAGTGAAATATTATCTCTTTTTCAGACTGTGATAAAAATTCTTTGGAGAAAGTCGATAAACATAAAATAATCACTTTATTTGTTAGAGATATACTGAAGTCCGAAAAACAAAACGATTACTTTGTCATTGGTAATCATAAGTTTAAATTTGTGCAAATATTTGGAACAGTTGTATCAAAATCAGTTACAAAAAAGATGATGTTTGTAGAAGGTACAATACTGTTTTAATATATAATCATCATAATATATTTGAATCATTTCAGTTCACGATGGGAGTAGTTCAATAACTTGTTTTCTGGAAGACGATTGCTTTTGTCAACACCAAGATGAGAACTATGAACGATTCCAAGGACAGGAAAAAAGCAGCGACAACATTTTTCACGCTGCTACAGTAATTTTATTTTCATCCCTGCGTTATCTCTCTTCCAGATTTTTTCTGAAACACCCGAACAGTGTAATGCGAGGCGACATAGTGAGTTAATGTGCACTCCTAGGGTCAGTCTTGGGCCCTCTACTATATATATAATGTAACAGACACTGAATGAATTTGTGGTGCAATATGCCGACGATTGCTCTGTTCAGTTCAACTGATGGCTATTCTCAAAAAATTTTTAACCCTCTTGAACTTGTTCTGAAACTGAACACCAATAAAAGGCAAGTCATAATTTTTCAATGAAAGAGTACTAGTAGTGAGCAATTTTAGAAATGGGTTAAAAAAACCGGAATATTTTCTTCAATTGTCCTTTCTAGGCACAACAGTCGACTCAAAATTGAACTGTGAAAAATCATGCTTCTATCAAAGGAATATTATCCGGTAGAATATTTCGCTGATAGAATGAATTGTTTGCCGATTTTAGTGTTTACATCATACTTTTGTTTCAATAATTTGGCAAGTTCTACACCTGTAAGGGTCCTTATACCAATCAAAATTATCTATCTTTTGTTGTAACTTGTTAGGAATCGCAAGTTGAAATGTAAGACTTAGTTAATCCTTAACTTGCACACGTTTCTACTTCTGGGGGTTGTACATAGGGAGGCGACTGCTAGGTTAACAGAAATACAGATTTTCGTTATTTATTGATTATTATTTTCAATTTCAAATAAAACACAATATTCGTGAATAACGGCTTATAATAAATGTATTTACACTGGAGTTCTTACATGATGCATTACCAATGATGAGAAAGAAAAATGAAAAGGATAGGGCGAAACAAAGAAAATCAGAGCTCACATCGTGAGCTCCATGATAGCATTAACTATATCATTTTGGTTATTCTTCAGAGCCTTAATGGCTTTAACTCGACTGACATTTGCTTGAGACATTACCAACTCGACGTCTTTTTCTTCCACTCCAGATTCATCAACCTGAAAAAAAAGGAAATAGCCGTTACTAAAAATGGTTATACTACAATTTATAGATGTTGAGAACATTTTTGAAGTACAAGAAAACAAATATTTCAAAATAAAATTTCAAAACATTCATCTCTCCCAAACTACCTACACCGTACGTTCTGGTGAATGCCTCCCGGAAATAACTACTTTTTCATTTAATACCACGTTGGATATTGAATTATAACAGACCGACATCTATGCAAGATACCTCACAGGGGTTAGTCTCGCAGATGTTTCTCGTTCAGCTAGCAACAGAACCACACTGAAAACAACCAAGTAGATCACCTACACATCGGTATCGAGGTATTACCTCTAATCAATGCCACACGACTGCATGTCAACTCCAAGAGAAAGACTGTTAACTAGCAACAGCTCTACCTCTATTCTAAATATTCTTACCTCCTCATCTTCAGACTCTTCGGCAATTGGTGCTACAGATGTCGTGGTAGTACCAGCTGCACTATCACTTGCTGGATTGACTTCCTTGAACTTCTCGGCAGCTGCCACTTGCGCTTGCTGAGACAGATCTTCAATTTTGGCTTCACCGAACACAATGTACGTGTCGCTGACAGGGTTCTTGTATACGTCAGGTTTGTTGATCACAAACAGAATGTTCTTCGATTTACGGATGGTCACTCTGCTAACTCCTTGAACCTGAAAATAATATGGTTTATTGACAAACAACCAGATGTCTTATTGACAATGTTTGCTATAAAACTAATACACAAAATATGGTTGTCTAAACATGTATGTATAGAGAGTACGGACAAAAATGAAGATGTGGTGTGTTATTAATCACATGGATTTGAATACATCCAAATGTTACTGCCAAACATTTTCTGAAATTATTCACCCTGTTCCACATGACTACAGTATCAATAATATAGCAATTAACAGGAAATCAGTGACAAAGGACTTGGCTTCATTGATAGATCATGCAGGGACTTCAGTTTAAACAATCAAGTTATTATATTGTTCATTAGTTAGATCATTATTAGAGTATGCTTCAATAATCTGGTGCCCATACTATGAGATGAATATGCCTATACAAAATACTTTTCTGAGGATCCGTGCATACAATTTAGGTCTAAGAAGGGGAGAATATGCATACAACAAATTCAGGGATCATAAAGAACAGTTTCCTATCTAGATGAATAATTACACAGATAGGACATAATAACGCTTTCAACGCAGATATTATCCAGAAGTAGTCAGAAAACAAAGTCGTAAATTCACTTACAGATTAATATACCCTCAGATTAAACAATCAGAAATCAAGAAATTTGTAACTCCAAGATATTTTGGTAAAAGAACAGACAATTGTGTTGTTTTTTTTTTCAGAAAAAACAACGTGGAAGTGGCATTCAGACCACATGCCAGGTTGTCTAATTTCCTTTTTAATGCCAAAGATAAAGTGGACAAGATGAAGAAATCGGTAGTTTATAAACTCAAGTGTCGGGAGTGTAATAGTGGTTGTGGGAAAATATGGCCGAAATTTCTCAAACGGTATGCTGAACATGAAAGGTCCTTCAGACTAGGTAAAAATGATTCGAACTTTTCAAACAATTCCTTAGAATTCAACCACAAGTTCCCGAATCTAAATGATACGGAAATTTTGCATTATGCAAGCAAGGGTTTGAAACCCAATTATTTGGAATCATTAGAAATTCACAAGTATAGCGGATGTAACCTGCTAAATGTATCTTAGAAAAAAGGAAAGAAAGCAATCAGTTTCTAAAAATTAATTCTATACAAAAACTTGTAGAAGTGTCTCTCAGCAACAAACTGGAAGGAAAAACCCACTCGAAACAGGCACTTTCATATAAACATTGAATTATCCAAAAGAAAAATACTTTCGAAATAACTTACTTTTATGTGAATACTGAATTAATTAAACGAAAACACTATCTCTTGATCAGTTTGTATTCCAAACATTCATTACAGGATTGAACCAGACATTATTCATAGGATTGCTACACAATATAGTAAATGAAAGAGGTAACATTTCACTTACATGGAACCCTTGTCATCCTCACTGGTGGACATCCGATGTTTCGACAAAAGACACTTGAATATTGCCCCTTCTGCACCAATCTGGATAACATTATAAGATGAAGCACGCAATTCATTCAAAAAAACTACGACTTTATGTCACGAGTGAGTTGAATCTACTCATGTCATCGATGACTGTACGTAATACATTCAATCGCTTATTTGATAAAATCACAACCATAGGAATCTTGTTTAAATTGAAAGAGGTATATTTTTGAGAAAGAAACTTTGGCTCTCTACCTCTCCATATTAATACAGAAAAAGGGGAATCTTCCAAAGAAAGTGAGATAGCAATCACAAAATGAGTTTTTCAGTGATTTTCAAAATGTAAGGGTAGTCTCTCTAATTTTAATATGAGCATATAATTCAGAAAATATCTTGAAATGATTATAATATAGTCTTTGACTAGAGTAGAGGCTGTATCGTTAGTCTTAGTTTATCTTACAAATTAAGTAATTATAGGAAGGAATCCTCTCAACTTTCAATATTTTACATGAATCTATACTTTTTCAAATAGAAAAAAAAACAGTCTGCAATTGAGTTTTGCAACATACTCTCCAGAAGTGGATTAAGATACCTCAAGTTAGAAGCGAGTTAATTTAGTTCCCTATAAGTAACTTGCGCTGCAAACACCCTGTAGCTGGCTTCTGAGTGTTACAGTTATTGCCCCCAGAAATTTAGAAAGATCCCGTCAAATGGACTTACCGGCTTGAGGCCAAGCTTGGACATGATTTTCCTAGCTTTCTTCTCTCCTCGGGACTGCTTCGCCTTCGAGACCATGTCAATGGGGAGGCCAGCGGCTGCTGCCCCCGGGAATGCCGCAGATCCAGCGTTTGCTGTTCCTGCATCCTCCAATTCAGGAATTTCCTCATCAGAGTCGCTGTCTGTGGAAGATTCACTTTGTTCGGGCTTGGCTTCTGCCACGACTGGTTTGTCAACTTCCGTCATTTCTGGCATTGTTGTTCAGCTGCGAAAAGAAAAAAATAAAATCATTACTCTGGACACCATAATAGACTCGCCACAAAAAAAAGTTATACAGTCAGACTGCCAAGAATGTAATCAAGTTCGATCAGAAAAAATTGCGAAACCTTGGAAGGTGATCATCATGATAGTTCAAATTAATTAATACGAAATTCAAACAAGTTTCAAAACAGTACCTGAATGTGCAGAGTCGGACGAAATGATAGTCTGAAAAAAACAATCAATACCCGGCAGAGTGTTCCCAACACAAAATGTACGATTGCATCCGATTTCTCGGGTACACTTCATTGAAAATTTCATTTTAGATTCAAACTCTGAATAAAATAATGATGCCATATCAAGCTCGAATGTATTTGAGAACTATTTGTAATGATTTACATGAGAAATAACATAAGATGGTCAGAATAAAATAGAAATACCTTTATCAAAGACTGTCTCAACAATAAAATCTCGAAGCGAAAAGGGGATGGCGGAATGCGTAACTGTTTAACAGTGTTGCCATCGAAGTTTAATATAATTTTTGAGTGTTCTATGTCTTGCACTTGGCGTTGGTTTTGTTTCTTTTAATAATTTTTATTGAATAAAGTGAAAACAAATTTGAAACATTATTTCTTCATGAGGTGATTGAAGCAATATCACTTTCATATTATCATTAACAATTTATTATAATTAATCAGTTTTAATGACTGTTTTTTTAGGAAAAATCTAAACCAATACAAATATCTATTTGTCGAAGTTATACGTGCCTCATACCATTAAAATTACCCAAAGTTTGTTGAATAACATCCGATCATTCTCATTGAAACGGATAATGAAAGTCCTTGAGATATTGTGTAATCAGTATTGGCACATTTTTATTGGTTCAACATTTCTTTTGTGAACATCGAACATTCGAAAGTAAATGATTTCAACAGTAAAAATCACAATTTAATTCAATAAGGCACATTCGTATACTGAACAATTACTCTATTATCGATGTCTATTGAGTGATTTGATTACTAATAATTCATTTATCATAATTTCATTATTTACTAGAAAAAAAAGGCATTCTCACAAGTGACACTTGATCACTCCATTGTAAACACATCACTGATGATCATGATAAAGTGAAAAATGAAGCAACTCAAAGTAGTTGCAGATATGAAGCATTTTCGATTGTCGTTTGGTAACATCAAAGATTGACGTTAAACTGACAGTAACTTGTAGAGTGGTCGTTTTATTTGCGCTCGGTTATTTCTCTTTCCAAGTTATTAGTAGGAATCATTTAAAAAGAGTTTTCGGTTCCTTGCCGAAGTGGGTCGACTTGTATCGGCTATCCGCATCGTCAAGGGGACGGAAGCTTATGTCGCCATAGCACGTGCAATCTAACAATGATTATTGTTGTGTATGTCCGCCGTCCGCATGAACGCAACAAGTTATGAAATTAGGAAGTTTAATAAGGAGTGCAGTATTGTATGAAGCAAAACTGCACCCACAGGATAATGTTCCCTTTAGGTTACGGTATATTACTCAATGGGAAGAGAGCTGGTCATATATCACCGATACAGAAAGTTGAAGCCAAGAAAGTATGAGAGAGAAAGAGAGAATTGTTTAAAAAACGCACATAGACAAATGGACAGTAATTACGGCAACGCTGGAATGAAAATATAAATAGAAGTAAAATGAACATACTTCCTACAGTAAAGAAATATAGAAGCTGGTAATATTGTGATAACACTTTTAACAACAGTGTCAAAATGAATAAGTTACGAGATAAGTTTTTACTGATGTGTAAGTAGTTACTTTTCAAATGAAGTCATTGCTTTACCGTACTTTATTATTGCATTACAAATCGAACTACCTAACACCGCTGACTTCAACAAATAATTACTATATGAAATTATTGAATTTTTATTAGGGAATTTTTCATATGTATCGTTTTGAAGAGGTGGCTGTTTAAAATCCTAGGGCGTGACTTTTGGTAAATAGGTCTCATTGTAAATGTCAACACTGTAACCAATCAATACTGTAGTCACAAGAATAGTAGTGATTGGTTATTACTGTTGCGGGAATTCCAAGCATTTTTTCCACCATCCTTTAACATCAAATTTGGTGAAACAAAATTGTTCGATATATGTCAAGGTGAAAATAAAACAACCCTTCCTTAATAAAAAGGGTTATTAAAACAAAACATTGATGGTTTTGAAAGAAAATGATTGTTTTGTATTGATTTTCACTGGTGTCCGTCCCCTACTAAAAATTCAGTTCCTACATAAGTATAGTGTGTTCAGAGATAATTATGTCTATACTTTAAAAAGGATCATAAATAATTGTCAACGAACATTAGCATTTCACTGATTATACAGTGGTTTGCATATTGAAAATTCAGAGCTAAACTGAAGATTCTCTTGTAAAATGTGTTGTTTGGAAGAATTCTTCGAAGTGAAGTATAATCAGAATTAATATTTTCTGTTTATGGTTTTAGTCCAATCGGTTTTATATTGGTTTTTACATGATAATAAACTTGTTTACCTTTATCATTTGTCCTTACCTGACCTTTTTTACGTAAAAATAAATCAAGAAAATTGATGAAATACGAGGTCTGTTCAAAAAATCAGGCGACTTCTAATTTTTCTCAAAAAATATTTTTTTTTATCAAGTTATATTGAAATGTTCTGATTATATTACTGTGTCGTTTTTTCAAATAGCTAAAATGTATTTATCATACGAGGTGATATGTGAAATATTTGAGAAAGTTTCAGATATACAAACAAGCAACCACAGAAATTTTTTGAGTGAAATATATTTCGTTATTTTGTGCTGAAAAGTGGAATTGGAACCTCCATCATAGAATGAATCCATAATCATAAGGAGATGCCTGTCTAACATTCTTGATAAAGCCAACTTCATTGGATGAACACGTGTCTAAAACAGTGTTGCAGTTCTCGTGTTCCTGAACGAAGTGTTCCTGTAGTTTCTGCTTGAGAAATTTCAATGTGTTACGGTCTAAAAAACGGAATAGAAAAAATTGATAAACTCCTACATGGCATTTATGAATTAAGTTTTTTATATTAAAACGGGTCATTTATTTCATCATGCCCTATATATTTCTGGATTTATAGGTTAGGTTAGGTCAAAAGTAATTGGGTCTATTCGACCCTCCACCGCAACACCCAAGGGTTTATTGTGGCTCACACCTATTCACACTCGACCAAACAAACCCAGTTTCCTGGTCTTTCAGGTCAGATGGTAAAAGTACGGCTCTGCCGAACTCTAAAAAACCTGATTCGGTCCCCAGCGAGGCAGACACAAAGTATGTCCTCTGCTGTTTTATTATTTTCTCTCAAAGGTGACAAAACTGTTCCAATACAGGTCCTAAAAATATGGGCTACCAATTTAGACGTTGCTCGGTAGGAGCCAAGAGCTTCCAACGCCGCTTGACTGTCCGAGAATATTTTTATTGACTAGTGTATGATGTTGGATCCTTCTAATCTCTCCGCACACAATTCAATAGCGTGAATTTCCGCTTGAGATACAGTCGCATAGGTTCTAATAGGGGAGCCCAAGCGAGGATTTCAGGATTTACTGAAGCGCGGCAGATTAATNACATTTTTTTCTTCTTATCATCTAAGCTCTGCAACCTAATAGGTCTCTGTCTCTATGATGCTCGAGAAAATCCCCATTTTGCCTCTGTCCTGTGTCTGCGACTGAAAACACCAGAACCGGAAGGTGTTTTTGATCCATCTGTGAACCAGCAACTATCTGCTCTTAATATTTCTTTCTCCCGGAGGATCCAGTCCTCTCTACTCGGGAACACTACTGCAGGTGTAAGGCAGTTCGTAGTTGATAGTTGGAGGTGAAATCTCAGAGGTCATTCTTTGATCCGCATTTTTCACAGAAGGCATGCGATTTATGGGCATTCCAAATTGGCAGGGAATATGCAAGAATACTATGGGTACCCTGTTTTCAGGAGACTTGGAAGAAATGGGAATGTCAAAAGACATGCTTTCAAATAGAAAACATGTTTATTTTGGATTCACAATAAAGTTCAGTTGATTTTTGAAAATATTGCTGAAGCAAATACATGAAGTTGTTTCGAAAAGCTATCGGTTGAGATATGCAGAGTCCTCAAATGATAAGAATGAAATGCTAACAGTATCGTTTGCTTCGTTATTTTCAATGTTATCAGTCAATACACTCATTGAAACATATTTTCACATTTTTCTTCACATACGTTTGTTATGGTGATCATACTTGTTGATAAACAAACCTTGGTTTTTTCCAGGTATATTTACCGTCTGCGCGTCCAGTGCCGTACTAGCCGAGGTGAGACTTTTTTTGTTTTTTTTTCCAGCGTTTACTTTTTTGTTGTTAATTCAAAATGAAAATCAATCAAACTATGCATATCTTTTTTAGAGTTACAGGGCTGGTGTGGCCCTATATAAGGTGGTTCTTGCCAAGCCTGGTGCAACTCCACAAGAACTGATAGAGTCGAATCTGAATCAGTATGTGAAGTTGATAGACTCAGTGAAAAACAAGGTAAAATTATTTCTTTTTTTTTTCGAAATTGATTCGCGTTATTTCACATCATTATTGAGGAAGTGAACGGATTATTGGATTCAAAAATGAAATATTTACAGGATGGCTTATTAGAAAAAAAAATTATGACATTTTCGCTTAAACGGAAGCACCAAAAATTTTATGTGATCTATACATAAATATATCAAATTTGATAAGAAATTGCTGTGTATACAACGAATTTTTCCCAACCCCACCAGCAAAATGAAAGCCGAGGGATTAGTTACTACTATAATATATTAATTTTCTTACTTAGCTATCCAAAGATTGGCTGAATGCTTATGCCCGTTAGGGTATGCACAAACAAAAATAAATTTTGGTAATTATAAAGATAATAATGGGAATTATTCTACTTTGGACCAAGATCCTTGATCTTCCACCATATCCACCATGTATAGGAATATTCAATACAAATGAAAGGAAACACCACCTCAATAATATTGTGCTTTTTGTTTTCTACTATTATTTTTTCTGTCTTCACGGCCCGAAACTTCCCAACTTTTCCAAGTCGATTAAACAGCGAAAAGTTGGGAATTTTGCAAAATTGTCACTTCAAAGTTTGTGGACTGTTCAACTGTTCTCTTACTTGGGAGAAATTAAACTTTTTTGAAGTTTTCAAACAACTTAGAATTTCAAAGTATGGGATCTCCAAGTTATGCATGTTGGGAAATCCCAACCTTNGCTGCACATCCTCTCCGTAGTCCCCGCATCGCCCTCTTTTGAAATGGACCGTTGCACATTTGTCTATCCCGAATTTCATTCCGATAGCATGCGTGTACTCTTCCACCACCCTCAAATACTGATGGAGATCCTTCTCTCCAGAGAAGTTTAAGATCATCCATATAAAACGAATGGGTGACCTTGTACCTCCGGTTTCTGGTGGTGCCACAGTTATACCCTCGAGTATTTCTGAGCGCAACGGATAATGGCAATAGTGAGATGCAGAAGAGAAGGGGACTGAGGGATCACCCTGAAATACACCCCTTCTGAAAGTGATCCATTCTGTTTGTACTCTTTCTTTACCAGATGTTATGGTGAAGCGAGTTCGTCAGAGTGGTATCAGTTGTTCAATGCATCTCACTATTTTGTCGGGTACCGCAAGGCATCTGAGCAAATGCAAGATGAGTTCATGCGAAATTGTATCAAATGCCTTTCGGTAATCGATCCAGGCCATAGAGAGGAAACGCTTATATTGTATCGAGTCCTACGTTACACATATATCGATGAGCAGGTTCTCTTTACATCCAGCGACTCCTCTCTTCGACCCTCTCTGCTCAACTGCGGCAAGTATTCGTGTGTATGAGATGCTTGTAAACAACTTATAACATGGATTCAAGCACGTTATCGGTCTGTAATTCTTAGGAATCGACAAATCTCCGCTTTTGGGGTAAGACCGGTCCGCCCCTCGACAAACCCATCTGGAATCGGCTGCTCTCCGTCCTGCAATGAGTTGAAAACTCTGGCCAGATGGCGGTGGGTACTTGGTAGTTTTTTCCACCAATAAGTGTTCAGCCCATCTGGGCCTGGAGCAGCAAAGTTCTTGGAACCCACAAGGGCTCTTCGAACGTCATCCGGGGCTAGGACTGGAGTGTCTAATTTGAGTGGCTGCGGGTGTTCATAGATATCCTTCCAGACGGATTCCACCTGATCAGCGGTGGGCGGATTATCCACAACACGTGGAGGCTCTTGGGATAAGCGAGAAGGTTTCTCGCGGAACCTAAGGTTTTCCGCGATACTTTTCGCTCGCCTCACTAGTGACTTCTTAGCAGCCACTAGCATTCGTATCCTATCAAGGCAGTGCTGTTTGGTGGTCAGCAGCACGCCTTGACTTAAAGTGTGATGGATACGTTGTAGATTGGCGGCTATTCGCCGCACTGCAGGCGTGTAGGGCCTGTTGGCCGCCCTGTAATCCATCACACATTGGATACGAGACGCTTGTTGACTCGCCGACGTGATCTTAACCTCCATCTTGTGTACACGCCGTTCAATCTTCCGAACCGCAAGGCCGGGGTTTCGTCACTCCGATTCGGAAAGCGATTGGACAACGTTATACACGGCGGTGTTGATTTGCCAGATGTCAGCCTCTTCTGTTAGAACACTGTGAACCTCCGCATCCAAACAAGCCAGTTCTTGTGGCTTCAGTGGCTTAATTCTGTGGAGCGCCCTGCGTGTTCTGATTGTCGTCTCCATTGGTGGTATGATGCGAGTCTCCTCTCCAGCCGTGCCAACAGGTGGTAGAACTGTCACTTCTACGACTTCGTTAGCAGGCTGGGGAGGAGCTATATAGGCCTGCCGCCGAAGATAGGATACGTAATCCCTAAGATTTTGGGCGGAAAAGGCGGCATGCTACGGATGTGTTTCACACCACAGAGCATGCAATCTCGCCATGTACCCTCTTCGTGAGGGCTCACTACTCTCGTAGCAATGCAAAAGGCTATCTCTTAGCTTATGCGTCCACTCAAAGCGTCCGTTGTCATTGCCAGGGTTGTCATCAGTAAGCAAATCATCGTTATGGGCTCCAGCACCTTGCCTCTGACCCCTCCGAGCGGGTCGATTGTGTGGGCTCCTTCCTCGATTGCTAGGAACCAAGTGTTGTGTGCAACGGATGGTTAGCTCAGTGATCCCCATATATTCAGAGGGGCTCTGAACAACTGAATATATCAAGTTTCATTTGAATTTTTTCAGTATCTAATACGGAATAATTTTTTATCAATATGTTTAGTGAAGTTCCTTTCTACAAGCGTTTGAAAAATTCATCGGTTAGATTTATAATTCGTTTTTCAATATGGATAAAATTGAAAAATTTGATTGCGATTTTTGTGATCAAAAATACTATTCTCAACGCTCTGTATCTGAGTTTTATGGGATTGTGTACTTTCCGAATTTAACGTGATTCGGTTTCTATGATAAATGAAAAATTATATCTTCCCAGGATTTCCTGTTGATAACAGAATTATTACTGAGCGATTACGTGGGTATTATTTCTTTAACAGGTATTTTGTTCGAAGAATCGTTGAACTAACGAATACAGGCGATAAATGCTAATAATAAAAAAACATATTTATTCAAACTGCATGATTCAGAAGGTCAGGTTCCCGTGTGAACCTTCCTAGTAAAAAAAAAGGTAAAATTCATTCCACTGAACGTTGTTTCAGAAGTGTCTGCCATTTGTCTTTTCCAGCCGGTTAGTATTGTGCTATTTTGAACAGTATACGAGGTCAATTGAAAAATTGAGTGAATTTTCATTTTTATAAAAACATATTTATTCATTCATCAATTTCTATCTTGTTGCCTTCAAAGTAGCCCCTCTAAGATATAATACACTTGTGCCAGCGTTTTTTCCAATCTTCGGATCAGTTCTGATTTGTACTTTTTGATATGTCCTCGAACTCTCTTACCGATTCGATTTTTATCTCCTCAATCGTCACAAAACTAGATCATACAGTTATACAAATAACATAAATAAATATTCAATAAGAAAACATATATAAAAAAGGGACATATTCTTGACAAATTGCAAATTAACAAACAGAATGAAATGGAAGCCTACAAACAACATTACAACTCAGACCCTGTATAAAATGTTTCGTTAAAAAAAAATGTAACTCATGATCATACAGACATACTTAAAGGAATATGATTCGCTATTCAAATAACAGCATTCACGTTTTTTTTGGAAATTCATTTTTCATCTCTAGTGATTAACGACTTGAATTTTCTCGTGAATGTACGAATTTCTTCAAATTAGTTAACTTTTACAGGTAGACATTGTGGTATTTCCTGAATATGGTTTGACCACTCTCACACCCATAACATCACTGAAAGAACATCTGAAGACTTACAGTACAATTGTTGAAGCAGTTGGTACACAAATATGCAATCAGAGTAGCACGGTGAGTAGAATTTTAAAAATAAATGAGTTACTGAAAAGAGCTAAAAAGTTATCGACCTAAGAGCAGGCCACGTTTAAAAATCATACTTTTTTTTCCCAAATTTTGATTGATTTTTTATTGGGGAGGTACCTCTGTGAGTGTTCTTGTGTGATATACTGGAAAAATTCGAATGAACTGATGGATGTAGCCGTTACAACGTGGTAGGAAATCACCATGAACTTCCTATGTTTTTTACCACTTGTATTTATAACTAATGTTACTGCAGTTTCGTTCTACAGTGCATTTCTTTAATGCCCCCCCCCTTTTATTTTTTGAACGGGTCAACTCACAAAATTGAAATTTGAGATAATGAAATTAATGCACGAATACTTCATTTTGAAGTGAAATTGACAAATGAAACTT